TTCAAACTTCCTACGAAGAACGTTCGTCGAAATACGTTTTTATCAGGGAGAAAGAAAGTTGCATTTTCTCCCCTTTTCTTCTTTCCCTTTTCCTTATTAGCATTGTTCGGATGTTTAATCCCCGTTTCAATTTTTCCTTATAAACACGCTGAAATTCTAAACAAACCAATTCCAATTCTACCGATTCGTACAAATTTCGCAATTCTTCAAAATCCGTGCAATTGAACCAATCAAATAATATATAAAATTTTATATGTTTGACTACAAACTGCGGTTTCAAAATATTCAATATTTTTTATTTGAGCCAGGAAATCTTTTCAAACATAGTGTTTTAATTCACTAGTTTTCATGGTCCACTTGACCAATTAATATCTTTCAATTAATTAAGGTTTTTAGTTGAGATAAAAAGTCCGAGTAGATCTAAGTCAAGATAGATCAAGTGATAGAGTAGCGGCGTATCTAGCAGAAAGTCGTGAGTTCGAATCCCGCTCGTGACACTGACTTTTTTATCTCAACTAAAAACCTTAATTAATTGAAAGATATTACTTGGTCAAGTGGACCACGAAAACTAGTGAATTTAATAAGTAAAAATGAAGTATACCTTCACTAAAGCTCTCCGTGGCCATTTTATTTGTCGCCGAGAATCAAATAGATTACACATTTGAAAAACGGCAAAAAGGAGGGAATTCAATTTCGAAAATTCAAAGGTGGGGTTGAGATGGGAAGTTACTGTCCGAGTGGATCGAAGTCACGATAGCTCAAGTGGTAGAGTAGCGGCGTATCTAGCAGAAGGTCGTGGGTTCGAATCCCGCTCGTGACACTGACTTTTTTATCTCAACTTAAAACCTTAATTAATTGAAAGATCGTTTTTAAATGTGTGGTGATTAGTGACCATTAGTCTATGATTATTCGGAGATCGTGAGATGCGGTCTGGTGTGACGTAGGTTTTAGAAAAACATTTTCTTTATCGTGCCAACGTTTCGATCTTTATTGAGATCGTCTTCAGGGCCAGGGATTTACAAACATTGTTTAAATTTAACAAATACATGTAGGATGAGGAAGAAAGTGAATTTATACAACGCAAAAAAATATTTTTTATATTCAATCAAAGCATTTCTACTCACTGTTGAGAGTGCCAGTGAGATATTGCTGTTTTATGTTTATATTTTTTGGATTTTGAAGGGGTGGGGAAGGAAGTCGTTGTAGAAAGACATTTTTATATAAAGGAGTCGGCTTCTCTGAGGTGAAAGGCCCTGAAGATGATCTCAATAAAGATCGAAACGTTGGCACGAAAAAGAAAATTATTTTCTTAAACCTACGTCACACCAGACCGCATTTCACGATCTCCGAATAATCCTAGTGTTTAAAGTGTAATCACAGAGTGGTTTAACATGAAACATTCATTCACAAATTCAAACGAATATATGCAAACTTCTGTACTCATTTTACGATTTGTTGTTAAACAAGCGTTTGTACCACCAAGATAAGTTCAGGTGGTAATGAGCAAAAGCCTTAGTGTCCTCTCTTAAAGGAATGGCTTATTCGTTTGTGGAAACTCTGTGTAAATTGTTATATTCTCCCATTCTCCTTTCTCATTTTCTCCTTCTCTCTTCATCTCTTTCTCTCTCTCTCTCACTCTCTCTCCCTCTCTCACTATACAAGACAACTAAAATATAATCATAATTTAAAACTATGTACGGAAATCAGTGGAATTCAGAACCTTTTGAATATAATTGTAATTATATAACAGAAAGTCTAGTTCACAAAATTAATTTGGGTGTTCACGACCAGCAGACATTACAATTTCATCCTGAAAAGTTATATTAACGAATGCGTTCACTAATTAATTAGATAGAAAGCATTGTGCGTTTTTGCTTATCTGTTTGCAAATATGACTTTACCTGGGGTAGAAAGGTCACCAATTCATCCTGTTTGATTTCAATATGGTTTTCAATCTATAGAGCATTTCCTGACCTTCAATCATCAAACTTTATAATTATTTATACTAAAGAAAATTATTTTAATACCTTTCTACTATATATTTATAGAACAGACAGTATGTTAATATTTGCAATAGATGAGTTATACAATATGTTATTAGTATATAATCAGTAAAAAAAGGATTGTTGTGTTCATGAACATTTCACAGGCAGAATACCTGTACCTGGCAGAATTTCGTAAATTATAAAAGCATTAAAATCTTCCGTTGGGAGGACGTTAAACCAAATAGCTACTGACAATCCATTATTGGCAGTCCAGAAGAGAATCGGCAATGTTCAAAAAGCTGGCATATATCACATATTGTAAGTGCTAAAAGCAATTAATTTTTTCCTTCATATTAGACTTTTTGTCGTTGTAGATTGGGCACAACGGCGTACAGAATAGATGAAAAACGAAGGGGCAGGTAAATTGATTTAGAAAAGTTCTGTCAAGACATCCATCGGCCCTGAACGCTGAAAAGCCAAAGTTCGATCAGGATCGATCCTGAACTCTTTTGTGACATACCAAATTGCCGTAAATGATCCATCAAACAATGGATTAAGAAGTACTAGGATCAATGGGAATGAATTCCAAGACATGCAAAAATGTCAAAGGTTCTTCAAAGAACCAACGCAGAAATTAACGGTTGACTTACTAAACCTCTATTAAGGACTGCATTGATAGTAAGATTGCTGACTCTGACACAGACTGAGACTGACCCAGCAGACTCTGAAGTGTTCAAATATTGTCAGGAAGAAGAAACAACTGAAAACTCTGTTGTTGCAAAGACCTAGGTAGACTAAAATCCCTACTCACGGGAGACGTGAATCCAAGGTTTGGACGATTCTTTGAGTACGTTGAAAAGCCTAAGCTAAATAAAAAGCTAAAGACAGTGAAAGAGAGCGAATCATAGTAACCTAAATTTAATCTAATGCATGTATATTTTTTTAAACTACTAAAATCTTGACTCGAGACAAGTTAGTTCGGTCCGTCTACACTCGATTTTTTGTATTGTTCAAACGTATTTCGGCGTTGCGCCATCTTCAGTGAGGAACCGTCTGACTTGTACGTGTAAGGCGTGTTCTAGGCTGCCAGTTGGCGAGACATAAGGTCTTTATGAGGGATGTGCTGTAACGTTTTTTTGTTGAGGTTGATGAAATCAATGTACTGTGCTGTTAAAGGTACAATTATTCTATCGAACTTTCAATAAAGAGGTCACAGCTGAGAATATAGGCATCTAGACCTAGTTCATAGGGTATGTGAGGTTCCCGCATACTCGGTCATCCTAAAAAGGACTCCGAGGATCTTAAACGTCCGCACCTAGCCCATTCGGCCTTATCGGACGTTTTGATTCACAAGATGAGAACTGACGCACCTCCGCATACGAAAGGATGGTGTTACTGCCTCAGAATTGGTGTACAGGCAGCTCAGCCCCGAAGGGTCAAGACAACCTCGCTCCCCGCTTGTCCATTCCGAGTGGCCGGGTCTGCATTGAGCAACAGGCCGTATGCCGCGCGCAAAGGGCTACCTAAGCCGAAATACATCATCTTGGTCTCCCGCGCACTCCCTAGATAGAAAAGGCGACTCTATCTCCCAGAGTATTGGGGCTTCCCTAGCGAAGAAACTACCGGATCCGCCCCGCCCCGGTCGCGGTTTCGTTTAAAGTGGAATTTCTAACCACCACCTAGAGGAGTACTGTAAAGCTTACTGTAAGATAGGAGTATCGAGCTCAGCCTACACCTACGTGCAAAGCATACTCGTGTACGAGCAACCGACCTAACTACCCGTTCTCATCCGCCACTACTCACGCATTCGAGGGACTATCCAGCACAATCATGGCGTCCTCAACGCCTATACGCTGCCGTCCAATCGGCCGTATCCCGTGAGGCCGGGTGTATAACGGTGGTCATACGCAAGTTTCGTGCGAACGTCACAGGTAGAAGACTACGTACCACTACGAATCCATTTCTATTGTAATAGGGGCTGAATTTGGAACATTTCTGTTACCCCAATTTACTCATCGTCAACAAGACAAGAGGATCTTTAACGTCCGCACCTAGCCTATTCGGCCTTATCGGACTTTTTGATTCTCAAGATGAGAGCTGACGCACCTCTGCATACGACGGAAAAGTGTTACCGCCGCAGCATTGGTGTAGTGGTGTCCCGGCCCCTAAGGGTCAGTAGCCACGCTCTCATTTCTGTTACCCCGTAGTACAGATGGTTATGCACCCTCCTCCGTCTGTGCAGAAAGGATCTGGTACCATAACCCTCATGTGCCTCTGATAAGGCACCCGCCGCCCATGCCGACCCACGGCCTGCACGAGTACAGCTTATGCTTTAGAGAGGTGCCCCGCCCTCTGGGCTACACCATTACTTTGCGCCCGGACACCCCCCTTGTAACCAAGGGTCGGGAGGGGGTCACAGGATAGAATGAAGGAAGCTGGATTGAGAAAGGGACGTGGATAAGGTCACGAGGTGAGCCGTTTCGGGGTCTCGAGCCTCAACCACACTATACCACCCGTCGTCTCTGTAGTTCCACATTGAGTGGGCCACAACTCCCTGGGTGGGTGATTCATAGGGTACGATATTTTCATACTCGTTCCTTCCTTACAAAGCCTTTATCCTAGCCAACCCAATGCTTAAGGCTAAAATAAGGTTTTTTGTTAAATAACAATTTCAAACTACTATTTTTTGAATTTTGGAGGAAACATCGAAACCCTAAGATCGGGGATGACCGATCATGACAATTCCAGATACCAAGCCTTTAAGATGAAGACAGTATAAACATTGGTCTAGCCGTTAGAGTCTGGTTTACATTAGCGTTTAGTAGTGCATCATGATTATTGATAATACCATAAATGAAACTGTTGAGCTAAACGCCAAACTATGTACGCCTTTCTTTCCAAAAGACTGGCTATATTCAGTCTACTTTTTCAGATCGTGTTATTTTCATATATAGGATAAGAAATGCCGAATTTGAACTGAAAAGATACAAGCTTTATATTTTCTTCTGTTTGTAGGTACACGGCATGGAGCGTAGGACAGGAGTATGACTCGGACGCTGTTGTCAACCAATCGGGGAACGCGACGTACCTTTTGGGTCAGAACGTCTCTTCGTCGACGACATCTCCTGAGGACGCTTTAACCCCCGTCTTGCCGCCGTTCGAACCGTGGCAAACCGTTTTAATAGCCATCTGCCTCGGTCTATGTATCATTCTCACCGTCGGAGGCAATATCCTGGTCCTGATGGCCTTCATAGTAGACCGAACGATACGGCAGCCGAGCAACTATTTCATCGCATCGCTTGCGGCGACAGATATGCTTATAGGTGACCTTTACTATATTTTCGACCTTGCCCGACCTGTAAGTGAAGTACGGTACATTGAACTCTACATTCAGCTATTAAGGAAACATTGCTATGTGTCATTATGCCTTAATAAAGCAATGGTATAGAAAGGTTAGCACGGTTAGTTTAATTTAAAGCCTAAATAAGAAGCTTCATTGTATTCAACAATTAAATATCACCATATAATCGTTAATGAATAGACTTTTTTTAAACATGGCCTGATGGCCAATTTACATTACCACTATTCTTGATCACTCCATATTCTTTATAATTTATGATATAAATATTTCTGTTAAATACTTTTAACCTTTCAAGAAATAACGTTGAGGAAAGAACTGCATGAAAAATGCCCTTCTATCGATCTTCTTCTTAAATAACATCTAACAATGTTTGCTTAAAAGTTTGTACAAAATTTTTTCATAAGAAGTTACTGAAAGTATGATTTTCTCTGCATAATAAAACAAGCTAAATCAATATTTAATTAGAACGTGGATTTTAATTAGCAACTAAAAGCAAGACAACAAATGAAACGTATAATATTTATGAATTCTACAACATTTGAATTTGTATGTTTGCCAAAAAAAAAAAAAAATTGGATGCAATCCCAGACAAATGGAAAATTAATGTCGTTATCTACAATAATATTCATCAAATAATTTTTTGAAATATAATATGTGATGTGAATTTCAATAGATTTAACTGTGATATGTATATAAATTTCTACTTTGCGTTTAGAAATGAACAGTCATTTTATTGAAAGACGGTGTTTTATAAATGTGTGTTTTGGTGTTTTATAAATTAATGGTTTGTTGGTTTCATTGCAGGTACGGTCTCGATGCCTTTCTACACCGTTTACGTCCTGATGGGATATTGGAACCTAGGACCGATCCTGTGCGATCTTTGGCTTTCGGTCGATTACACCGTTTGCCTCGTCTCTCAATACACGGTGCTTCTTATAACAATAGACAGGTTTTGTTCTGTGAAAATAGCCACAAAATACCGAGGTTGGAGGACGAAGAACAGAGTCATCTGGATGGTCACTATAACATGGATTATTCCCGCTCTGTTATTTTTCATCAGCATTTTCGGTTGGGAACACTTCGTCGGCTTTAGGGATCTCCTGCCGGGTCAGTGCGCCGTCCAGTTTTTGAAGGATCCCGTATTCAACACGGCGTTGATCATCGGTTACTACTGGACGACGTTGGTCGTCCTGTTTGTCCTTTACGGAGGGATTTACAAAGTAGCGTACGACATGCAAAAGAAGAGTGAGGCGAAGCAGAGGAAAATGCAGAGCATGGTGGCTCTGAGCGCCGGTGCTATGTCAGGCATGGCGGGGCGGGCGGCCGGCATAGGTCTGTCCAAGACTCAGAGCACGCTTTTGAGTCAGGATAAGCCCAAAACGGCCGCGAGTCTCACCGTAGCCGCGTCGACATACAGCGGAGCCGAATCTACGTCCAGTCAGAAAAATTCCTCCAAAGCGACATCCGACAGTGCTTCGACCAACGAAAAGAGGAAAAACCAAGAAGGCGACAAATCGGAACGGTCGTCGAGTCCGGCTTTCGAATCGGACGAAGATTCGACGACATGCGCCGCGCCGCAACCGGAGAAGAAAGAGAAGCAAAAAAAGCCGTCTTTGGCCGGGATGGTAGCTCAAACCGGTGCTCTAAACGTTTTGGTCCCCAGTAAAATCAACGGGGTCGTTCCGGTCCGTTCACCTCCGAAAGTCATCACACCCACGAACGCGGATGCTCTGGCTGAAGTTTCGGAGACGCCCCCACAATCTTCAAAAAACGTTACTCCAATTTTGGGAAAAGTGGAGCTGTGCAAAAGTGAAAAGTCCCTATCCGAAATATCGACGCCACCGACAAGTGTTCAATCTCCTCCAATAATCATCCCACCTCCCGTTATGTTCCAATCGAACACGCCGGTATCACAAGGATCTCCTCTAAGCACGGGAAGGCCCCGAAGCCTAATAGTGACAAAAAATACTTTCGATATATTGACCGGTATGGACAATTCAGACCTCAGGTACATGGACGAGAGTTCAATAATAGTCCCTTCGCCCAACTTCGAAAGTCCGCCGTCTTCGCTCAGCTTTCCAAACACTTCATCGACGGCCCCTCCCTCGCCGTTGCACAACAATTCGGCCAGTACTCAAAGCAACACCTCACTTCTCCAAGCGGCCCTCATGAGAGCGGCTGTTCAGCAAGTGACCAAAGTCAATACTGAAGTATCCCTCAACGAAGACAGGCCCGTTACGACGGTGGTCGAGGAGCCCGATCCTCCAGAAAAAACTGCAGGAACACCGGCTACTTTGTATTCGACGACATGCAACTCTCTTGCCACGGTGCAAAATATAATAACCGCACCCCAAACGCCCGATCCGAAGAAGGAATCCATCAGGAGCACGCGGAGCAACAGGAGTTTCCGGAGCATACGTAGTACAAGGAGTACTCGGAGTGCGTTAGTACCAGGCAGTTCGGAAAGGAAAGAAGGTGGTTCGAGAAGAGGTGATTTCGTCAAGACTATCGGTGATCGACTGAAAGGGAAAGGACGTAGCCAAGGATCCAGGCAAAAGTCCAAGTCTGAAAACAGGGCGAGGAAAGCGTTTAGAACAATTTCGTTTATTTTAGGGGCGTTCGTAGCCTGTTGGACGCCGTACCATATTTTGGCCTTGGTGGAAGGTTTCTGTTCGAACCCTCCGTGCACGAACGAACATCTCTTCATGTTTTCTTATTTTCTATGTTACGCCAATTCACCGATGAATCCGTTTTGCTATGCCCTCGCTAACCATCAGTTCAAGAAAACCTTCACCCGTCTACTCAAAGGAGATTTTCACATGAATTAAGGCCTACAACCAACCCCCAATCATGCCCTCGAGAGGCGCAGGCTTTTAGCATACTTTCTTTAACAGGGTACTGTAATTTTAGCTTACAACTCACTTTCACACAAATTTACCCCCGAATTTATTCGGATATCTGTCTTTGACAAGGATACAATTTGCGACAATACATTTTTATAAGTAATTAATATATAATGTTTTTTTACGTAATAAATATTGACACAGTTGATTGATTAAAATTGTAGTATTTTAGACTAGAACATAGCAGTAATTGTACATATAATGGTTTAAAAAAGTGTACAGTTCATAAGTGTTTGTATAAATAATTATTAAAAATTTGCATAATTATGTTGAGCTGTTCGGTGCGGTCGAATCTGTCGGTTAACTGAGCCCTAACTGCCCCGATTCTATCCGCAACCGAAACATCCTAAACACTAAAAGTAAATCTTCTACAAAAAAAAAAATCAAAAGTATTTTTTCATCGTTAAATATCAATGTAAAAGATTTTACTAAAAGTTTACAGCTGTTGTAAATTCGTATTGTATATAAAATTCACATATAATATACAATTTTTAAAATGTTGCTTATGTATATTTGTACAAATGTGTACTCGTTATTTTAAACGAGTACACATTATTATATATACAAAAAATAATAATTTTGAAAAACGCTTGATAAGTGTTTATTTTTTATTTCAAATATCATCTACTTTTATAAAAGTTTTTAATTGATTGTTTAACAGTAGAACCTGGTAGAGTAAATAGTTCGAACTATTGGCAATTGGACGGTTTCTTTTGTTCAACAAAGCCGTCTTTTTTAATCGTTTTTTTTTTCGAATTAACTATTAGATTATAATGTCTCAGAATGTTAGTACAAGGATGCTTTGGTAGCTTTATTAAAACTAGCTAGACGCCACATAGAGATTCAAAGTGGTCAAATACAAAGGAGAACGAATCCCATGGGCATATTTATTATTTGCTGTTTCGAGTGTTTATATTTATGTGTGTTCACGGTATGAAAAATATTCTATATATCCTTTAGTTTGTATGGTGTGTAATTTTGAACGTGTCTCGCACCGGATCTTGAATAATCAAATGCTTTTTCCCTCCACAATGCAAAAATAATGCGGTAAATAGTGTTATCTAGTGGCTAATTCTAACTTACCTTGATATATTTTTTAACATTTTTTTCCGGTTGTAAAAATATTTAGACAAATTATTTTTGAATCACTGTTAATTTGTCAAGTTTGATTTTAATGAAATGGAGTTATACACGATTTCGTTTTTATTTTTTATTTAATTTCAATACCGATTTTTTTATAAATAAATCCATGTCAAAATTGGAAAATTTTCAATATACAAGAAACATGACAGAGGGAAATTTGTAAGATCCGGTGTCAGCTATTACTTTTGTATATGTGTTTTTTAATGAAGGCGATAGACATTCCAATCGATTATTTTTCATAAGAAGAATAAAAAAAATATCGCGGAAATTCTTTTTTTAACATTAATTTAAAGGATAAGATTAAATTAGGTGTAAAATTAGCGTTTAGTTATTCACTTAGAGAAAGACATAAATGTTAAGAAATTGATGACAATACCAGCACGTTTGTGCAACTTATTTTGCGCGTATGTCAAAATAAATAAAAAAGGAAGCTATTAGTGAGATTTATATAATAATATTCTAATTAAAAGAAAACTAATATATATAAAAAAATTATATTATATGAAAATTTGATTCTAAGCAGTTGTTATTAAGATTAACAATAATTAATTGTAATAACTTTAAATTGTTGTTATTTATGTACACGCATTGCTTGAATTAGACCGTTGTCCTTTATTATAGTTACGATTGTTTTGTATTGTTCATTGTTCTATGTTTCGAAATATTCCGGTGTCAACCTGAGGAAGCTTCTCAGTAGAAATGTTCGGTAAGACGGGGGAAACCACGAACAGAGTGGTCCTAGAGTGTAAACAATTGAAATACCTATCTAATTAATCTATCGTCTAACATAAACTAGTGGAAATTAAACATTTGTAACTTAATTATAAAATAGAATTTTTAAATTAAAAAAAAAACCATTACGTGTCCCCTTCAGTACAGATGGCGGTATTGTTTGTATTTTTATTGTTATTCGTTTTGTTTTGTAAAGAGAGAAATCTTCAGTGTTAAATAATATTAACGCGAAGTAATTAAATTAATTAGACTGGAGGAATCATTGATTATCTTATATATAAGAAATAGTGAGAAAATCTCAAAATCGTTATTTATACCCGGTAATAAAACGTTATTTTATACAATGGATCAAACATCTCAAAAAAAAGTATTTATACTAATTATCCTATAAAGGTCCATTGATCCTTGTTCCTTTTTTAGATTTTCGATTTCCTTGTTTTTAATTTTTTTATATATATTCAGAGTTGGGTGGGATAATGTTATGTATGAAGCAGTATGATTGTAGGTCCTAGAAGTCGAATCATGGCGATTTTTTTTATGAATCCAAAATTTTCACAACTAGCTCTGGTTGTAAAAAGAATTTTGTTTTAATCGATCCACAATTCCTTCTTTTGTTTTGTGTTGGTTTTTTCTGTTTGGTTTTTAATTTATTTTTCTACCCAGGATTGGGCAGGAAAGTATATGTGAATAAGTACGATTCTAGCCCCTAACAGCCCTGATGAGGAACTTGTGGTACAATAATAGGCAATAAATAATTTTAAAAATATAAATGCTGACTGTCGATTTTTTTTTTTTTTTTTTTTTTTTTTGAATTCTACATTTTTCCTTCCAACCGTCTATGTTCAAAGAAGTTTTTAAAAATATATCTACAATTATTTTTTCGTTACTTTTTATTTAATTATATATAAAGTGGAAGGTTTATGGGCCGACAAACAGCTGAGGTCATCGCCGGCCCTCCGCATGTATTCCTTCTCTTTCCTGTCTTTCTCGCGTATTTTGTATTGAACTGCTTTTATTTAATTATTTTTTCGATTGTTTTTATTCTCTTTTTAGATCCAAGGTTAGGTCAAAATGTTACATGTGAAGGAGTATGATTCTAGCCCCTGACATCTCTGAAGTACGAAGTGTCGCACAGGCAGAAATAATTTTGAAAAACTCAAAGCAGATCTCGCTAATTTTACGGTTGTATAACAGTTCACCATTTTTACACCTAAACCCGGTTGCAAAAACAAACTTGATACAGCCCTGACGTGAAACCAGTGGCACAAACCGAAATGCGTTGGCTATAAATGATAAACAAATTCTGTTTTGATCAGTTTTTAACTAACCCTGATATAAAAAGAAATTAAAAACGAAAGTTTATCTATTATTTTAAGCTATTCGTTGATATTATAAAACATAATAATTTGAATAAGTAAATTCGAGTTTATTTCCATGATTGTAATCCAATATATTTGCCCTTTTTGTATTATGAATCTTTCCGAAATTATCAGAGTGAAATTAAATGAGATTGTAATTAAATGAAAGTTTGCCTTATAAACATTACTTATTTACGTTTATCGATTTATTAGCTAAAGAAATTTGGTCAACGATAATTAAAAACAAGATAACAACCGCAGCTTTTGATATTAAAATTCACATCTCCTCTATCTATAAAAAAGTTATTATAGTTTGTAAAAACTATATTATTTAACTAATTACGCCCACTCTTATTATAAATGAATTGTATATAATGCTATACAGCTTTCAGTTGAATTTTATAAAATTTACTAATTATTTTACAATTTAATTTGTTTACAAAGTTGTTTGTTTTTTTAAATCACAAAGACAATATTATAAAAACGACTAAGTCTCGGTAAAGCGTGCTCTGTGATAATTGACAACAATCAGTTCAATTCATTTGATTTCACGCCTCTTTCTCATCTTCAAACGTTCTCTAAATTCGTTTGATAGAACGTTGTTTTCAACCATGACAATCATAATCGATAAGTTCAGTACATATACCAAATTTAGGAATTTTTTACTTATTAATTGACCTAAATTTTCTGTATAGATTAACTTTGTAAATCGGCCAAGAATTTCTTTTGAATTTTAATAAATTGAACTGTAGTTTTTTTTAAATACTGAATAAAAACACAATTTATGGAAGATTTCTCTCTTTCCCTTCAAGCACTTTTTTCCGCTCAAGACATTGTAATAGACAGAGTTCAGATAATAAAATATAAAAAAACGGACCTATTTTATAGTGTATGGCATAGTTTTTACCAAATATTTCAATAGATCAGCACGGTTATATTTATAGAAAGCTTTTCTTGCATTCCAAAAGGCGTTGTGTGCTTTAAAAGCTGATTGTAGGTTTAAATTATATTTGTTTTCGAGTCAGACAAAAGGATTACACTTTCGCCAATGTGCTGTTGTGAAAATATGAATCAGTATTAAAAGGCTAAATTATATTGTGCATTGTACAGCTTTAATCGTGATGAAAATGTTTTCCTTTGGTTTTTGCACTCTGTTACACTAGGCTATATAAGAAATTACAAATAGGCTTGTCAAATATTGTTGATAACTGCAGTAGAAATGACGTATACAAATTTGAAACAAAAAAAAGTCAAAACCATTGTCCACATTCTTTAGGAAACGCTTTACACCCTTTGTAGCACAAATGTCAAAATCCAATTAAGCCCTAGGTAATATTAATGTATAGAGTAAAGGAGAGACGTATTGTTTGTTGGGTTATTAGTTTATTTGTTGGTATTCCAGGTTTTCCGACCAAGTTTATGGTATAAGGGAACCGAATGTTCAAGGCTCTAAAACTATATGTAATACAATAAATTAAAATTTACTATATTATGAATTTAATTGTACGAAATTGTTGAATACCGATTTGTTTTATTTAAAAAAATGAAATAAGAGTGATATTGCTTTTGGAAATAAAGACAATTCTTTTAATAAAATGTGTTTTATACTCTCACACCCCTCTAGTTAAATTTTTACAGGTTTTATCGAACTCTGAGGAAGTGAATGTGACCAGACTTCTATGTTTCTATCGAGTGTTTTTTGGCCCTGAACCTGTTCTTGGCTCCATCACAGAATGGATTCAAAAAATACGAAAGACACAGTAAGCTTATGTTTTTGGAAAACAGCCCTCACCAATACTGGCAAACTCACTGCTGCAGTTAGAGAGGGCTACACTCATAGAAGAGGTAGGACTATTTACCGGTCATTAACATCTAAGAAAGCATCTACACAACATGATCAATGATATTCCTTCAATCATAATTCATTTGTACATTATTCAATGAGGAGGAAGAAACAGTCACCCATATCATCTACGAATGCGAAACAACCGCTCAATGGTAACCTGGAATATAAAGAAAACCCAGGGAATGGAATTCCAGCAACGACAGTCAATGACCTAGTACTTCTTAGGAGAAGGATCGAGTCGATTACCCTGAGCTAAAAAACTAGGAAAGCCAAAATCAGCCAGAAAACAGGCTGCAGTGCTTGGGGAACAAAAAAACCACTTCCTAGCATCCATTATCATCGTCATGATCATTACAATTATAATTATAATTAAAGAACTCTAGGGGGGTAGCTTAAAGAGGTTTGACCAAGAATTGACA